GAGAAGGAAAAGAAAGAAGTTACGGAAACCTCGGGACTCTGTTTTGCACCCTTGGCGAATATGAGAAGGCTAAAGAAAACTACGAGAAAGCACTTGCCATCGCGAAAGAAATTGGCGACAGAAGAGGAGAAGAGAGAATTTACGGAGACCTCGGAGCTCTGTTTCAAAACCTTGGCGAACATCAGAAGGCGAAAGAACATCACGAGAAAGCACTTGCCATCGCGTTAGAAATTGGTGACAGACGAGAAGAAGGAACAAGATACAGTAACCTCGGAACTTTGTTTTATTTCCTTGGAGAATATCCAAAGGCTAAAGAATATCACGACAAAGCACTTGCTATCGCGATCAAAATTGGCGACCGACAAGGAGAGGAAAGAGGTTATGGAAACCTCGGAGCTCTGTTTAAAAGCCTTGGCGATTATGAGAAAGCTAAAGAATATCAAGAAAAAGCACTTATCATCGCGATACAAATTGGCGACAGACAAGGAGAAGGAAGAAGATACGGAAGCCTCGGAGTTCTCTTTCAAACCCTTGGCGAATATCAGAAAGCTAAAGAATTTCACAAGAATGCACTTGCCATCGAAATAGAAATTGGCGACAGAGAAGGAGAAGAAATAAGCTATGGAAACTTGGGAGTTGTGTTTGAAACCCTTGGAGAATTTCAGAAGGCTAAAGAATATCACGAGAAAGCACTTGCCATCGCGATTAAAATTGGTGACAGACATGGAGAGGAAAGAAGTTACGGAAACCTCGGAACTCTGTTTCAAAGCCTTGGCGAATACGCGAAAGCTAAAGAGTATCACGAGAGAGCAATTGCCATCGCATTAGAAACTGGCGACAGACAAGGGGAAGGAAGAAGTTATGGAAACCTCGGAGCTCTCTTTCAAAGCCTTGGCGAATACGCGAAAGCTAAAGAGTGTCACGAGAGAGCACTTGCCATCGCATTAGAAACTGGCGAAAGACAAGGAGAAGGAAGAAGTTATGGAAACCTCGGAGCTCTGTTTCAAACCCTTGGCGAATATCAGAAGGCAAAAGAATATCACGAGAAAGCACTTGCTATCGCATTAGAAATTGGCGACAGAGAAACGGAAAGATCGGGATACTTAAGTCTTGGAAATATCTATTATCAGCTTCGAAAATATCGGCAAGCTAAAGGGTATTTCGAGAAAGCACACAGCGTCAGTGTTGCCACTGGTCACAGAGAAGCAGAAGCCCAGGCCTCCGCAAGTTTGGCAGCTGTCTTTGCTTCTGTGAATGACAATCAGAACGCAAAAGAACATTATGAAAAGGCGCTTGCCGCCGTCAAGGAGTGTGGAAATAGAGAAATCGAAGCACGAATGTACTTAAGCCTTGGAGGCCTATCTCGATCGCTCGGAGAATGCGACAAGGCAGAAGATTATTCAGCGAAAGCTCGCTCTATAAGCAACCAAGTTGGAGACAGAATGACTGAGTTTCAAAGCCTTCTCAATATCGCGCTGTTAAAGGTATCGCATTCAAACATCTTAGAAGCAAAGCAATATCTTCTTCAATGCATTGAAACATACGAACAATTGAGATACTCTCTGAAGGGAAACGAAGAATTGAACATTTCTCTGTTAGAGAAGCATGGTGGTTTTCCTTACAAGTTGCTTACAAGGTTGCTTTGCGTCAGTGGAAGTATTCGAGATGCTCTTTATGTCGAGGAGCTGGGACGAGCAAGAGTCCTCGCAGAATTCATGGCAGACAACTTCTCCGTCAAAAGCCACATCTCAGCTGATCCACAATCATGGTTCGGGATTGAAGACATCGTGAAAAAAGAAAGTAACAGTGCTTTATTGTACATTTCGTATTATGAGCGGCAAGTTCTTCTCTGGGTTTTGAAAGCAAATGGAGACATCATCTTTCGCGTAACAGGCGAAGTGAACCACAAGACTCCTATCGCCGAGGAAGTTTGCGAGGTGGAGAAAATTTTCAAGAAGAGCGCCACCCGATTCGGCGTTTTACCCACAGAGAATTGTGAAGGTCGATCTTTGGATGACAACGTGACGACACCTCTTCATGAAGAGAGCCGAGCAACTTTGAGTGGTAACGAAACCGAAGATACCGAGAGAATTAATCATTTGTGTTACAAGTGGATCATCGCTCCTGTGGCAGATTTTCTTACAGAGCCCGAAATCATCATTGTGCCGGATCGTTTCTCGTACCGAGTCCCATTTGCCGCCTTGCGTGATCAACCAGCTGGAAAGTATTTATCAGAGAAGTACAGAATACGCATCGCCCCTTCTCTAACGACTCTCGGGCTCATTCAGGAATGTCCGGCGCGCTACCACTATCAAACTGGTGCACTGGTAGTGGGTGACCCTACGGTTGGGAAAGTGCATTGCAATGGACGTCTCACTAACGTTACATCATCATTCTGGGCAAGTAAGGAAGCAGAGATGGTTGGTCAAGTGCTGAACGTTCAGCCTTTGTTAGGAGAGCGCGCAACAAAGCAGTCGGTACTTCAGCTCCTATCCTCAGTGAGTCTGATACATCTTGCCGCAGAAGGAAAAGCCGAAAGAGGAGAGGTTGCCCTCTCCCCTCAATGTACTACTAACAGTACTAGTATTCCACAAGAGGAAGACTACCTCCTGTCAGTGTCCGATATTTTAGGAGTGCAAGTGCGAGCTAAACTGGTAGTGCTTAGCTGTTCTCACAGTGGGCGTGGAACGATTAAAAAGGAAGGAGTTCTTGGAATTGCTCGAGCCTTCTTGGCATCCGGTGCACGTTCGGTGTTGGCAGCATCGTGGGCCCTCGAAGACGAAGCAACAGCGAAGTTCATGAAACATTTCTACAAACACCTCGTTCGTGGTGAAAGTGCCAGTGAATCTCTTGACCAGGCCATAAAATGGTTGAGGAGCAACGGATTTCCGAAACCTTCCCAATGGGCTCCATTCGTGCTAATGGGGGATAACGTGTCATTTGATTTTACAAAAATAGGGTAAGTCTAGTAGTTCAGATACGCGATTTTCTATAAGTGAGATTAGTTACCTTAGCTTCTTCAGGTGATCAACTTGTGTTTTTGTTTGTTTGTTCGTTTGTTTTACGCTGTTTTTGTCTTTTTTTTTTTTTCATCCATAAATGTCAAGAACTAGAAGATGGTTTGTTTGGTGCACGGAGCCAGAAAATTTTGTGAATTTGTTTCTTAAAATAGCCTTGAATTAGATTTGCTTTTGTACGAAAGATATTCTGAAATTATTGCTCAAGTATTGATACGACGCTAGACGCTATGACAATGAAGACAATCTGAGAAACATAACCAAACTTTAAACAACTAAACTTGATTTGTAAAAAATTAATAACTAGCACACTTGTGACTGTTGTTAATTTGGAAAGTTTGGAGGTCACACATGATTATGTAAGTTGCTTCTTTTAGTAAATCTGATATGTGTGCTTTAAAGTCAAAAAGGTGACAAACGTACGTTTGTTTTAGGAAAGAAGAACTTGAAGAGGACAACAATGAAGCAGAGAAGAACAAGAGTCGTGACTGATCAAAGATTATCCTTTCTGCATCCTTCCTTAACTGAACACTAGTATAACTCTACGCAGACATTTTGTATAAGTTTGGTAATATTGCTTTGGCACGTTTTTGTGAACATGGCTGATTCGAAAGTGGGCGACACTGAAAGTTGCAATTCAACCGTTTTTTTTTTTCTATCAGGTATATCACTAGGAGACTAAAAGGAATAGGGATGGGGGAATTGAACACAGGAACTTAGCTGTATGTTTAATGTGAGAATATTGGAAAAGATTTGTTAGAAAAAAATGAGTCCTCAATTTAAATAGACTGCTTTGCAGCCATTTCTGGAGTCGTCACGCCAGGCGAGTAACTTCGCCTGGCGTGACGACTCCGGAAATGGCTGCAAAGCAGCCATGATCTAATCTTCAATTCTCCCTTAGGAAAATAATGGACAGATTGAAAAAATGTAACACTTAGAGAAAAACATTGCGAAAGATTCTAAAGCAGCAATCAATCAGAGAGACATTTAGGACGAACGATGCACGAGAGATAGGCGTAGTAAGGAAACAGAGAAGAGAAAAAAAAGGGCGTGCGATACCAAGGCAAAAATCAAAAAGATAATATAATAATAACAGTAACAGTAATAACAGTAATAGTAACAGATAATATAATAATTGTAAAGTAACTAACTAACTAACTAACTAACTACCTAACTAAGTAACTAACTAACTAACTAACTAATAATTGTAAAGTAACTAAGTAAGCTATCTGGATAAATAAGAATTACTGAAAAACAAGCTAGGGTTGCAAAATATATAGTCTTACAGAATAGTATTGCAATCAAATTTAATCCTAACAGAACCTATCGATTATTAGTACATTGATTAAAGGATACAGAATTTGCCATTTTTTGTAGAAGAATGGGCACTTCAACATAATCGTCCTCTGCTTCCATTATCGAGAGCAAAAAGTTATGAAGATTTTTCTTAAAAGCTCCTTTGGAGAGTTGACGAAATTCGTTAGGAATTGCGTTCCAAAGTTTAACTCCAAACCTGGAAAAAGAATCTTGATTTAGATTCAGTCTTGAAGTTTTAACATAATAATTTCGAGACGAAGAAAACCTCGTCTCACGCTTGTGCTTTGAATTAGTTTTAGTAAAGAAGTCACAGATGTTAGACGGAGCATTCATGCAGGACACGTCAAACATTATAGAAGATACTTTTTCAGCATATAACATTTGTAAAGGTAAAATTTTTGAGGAAATAAATAAAGGCACAGTATGGGCTCCAGGTTCAGAAAAGTATATCAAACGAAGAACTCGTTTTTGAAGCACGAGAATTTTTTGTAAATGGGTTTTGGCAGCTTGACCC